GTAGCAGTTATTGCTGGGTCTGTTGCTGAAGTACATCTCTCCCCACTACACTCTCTCAGAGTTCTTCCTGGGCTGCTAGAGTTGCATGTGAGATAGTCTGTTATCTGAATTTGCCTTTTGCCAAGGGGGTGTTGATGGGAACAATTACTATATTCAAACAGTTACTGTTTAGTAACTAACTAATTTATTATTCTGTTAAGTTTTCTAGTAGTTACAGCTAAGCCAATTCTTTATTTTATTTGTTTCTTTGGTTGTATTTTAACTAGAATGCATGAATAAAGCGTGTTTTGCTTCCAATCTAATAGTCTGGCCAATTAAATTGCAGCAGGAACACATGTTGCACATACCTTCAAAATAAGAAAGTTAAGGTCTAGGCTACCTTCTTAATATATTTTGAGGGAGTTTAGTCTGGTCTATGATAAAGGGGTGTGACTGCCTCCTGAAACACAGAGTCCAGGGAACTTTTCCCCTCCCTGATATGTCACAGTGTTTGTTTTCCTCAAACAACCAACATTTGCTAAAGATGAGGCCTACCAGCGTCCACATCATGCAAATACACCACACTTTCTGGCCCTGCAACCCTATTTTATTTACTCAGTTCTTAATCTGATTTTTTAGAAAAAGTTTCCTACTGGTCTTTTACTTTGTAATCTGTAAATACTTCCCCTATTCACCTTCAATTTGAAAGTAACCTGTAATAAATAGTCAAATTAATAGCTATTACCAATCAATGAACTTACAGTTTTCCAGTGATGTAATTCTTTCTTTTGTGCTGGACCCCTGATCCTGGGCTTCAATTTATCCTGGTTAAAACAAACTTACAAAATATGAGCCAAAATAAGCAAGCAAAAAGCACCTCTTCCTCTCTGCACCAAATTGTCACACTGCCTCCAAATTCCCCAAACTACATATTTACTTGAGTTGTCTCTCACTCTGGATGTGGTCTATCCTCCCTGACCATGCCAAGGATATACTACAGGAGTGTTTTACAGAAGAGGCACTTGTCTTAGTTCACAATATGGTTTATTTCATGATAGCAGAAGGTATATATACTTTGATTAGGATGGCATAATGACAAAGGACTCTAGAAAGTTGTACTTAATATGTCTGCTCCCAATGAAGGCTAGTGTATAGCTCAACCGTCTCCACACAAAGACAGTGACAACATCAGATTGGGTAGAGCTCAGTGTCACAGTACATAGAAACAGAGAAGAGAGGAGCAGGAGGAGTCCATTCGGCCCTTTAAGCCTGCTCCGCCGTTCATCACAAACATGGCTGATCGTCCAACTCAACAGCCTAATCCTGCTTTCTCCCCATAACCTTGGATCTCATTCACCCCAATTCTATATCTAGCCGCCTCTTGAATACATTCAATGTTTTGGCATCAACTACTTCCTGTGGTAATGAATTCCACAGGCTTACCACTCTTTTGGGTGAAGAAATATCTCCTCATCTCCGTCCCAAATGGTCTACCCCAAATCTTTAGACTGTAACTTCTGGCTCTGGATACATCCACCATCGGACACATCTTCCCTGCATCTACTCTGACTAGTCCTGTTAGAATTTTATGTCTCGATAAGATCCCCCCTCATTTATCCGAATTCCAGCGAAAACAATCCTAACCTAGTCCATCTCTCCTCACATGTCAGTCCTGCCATCCCTGGAATCAGCCTGGTAAACCTTCGCTGCGCTCCCTTCAGAACAAGAACATCCTTCCTCAGAAAAGAAGACCAAAATTTCACACAATGTGACACACAAAGCCATGTATAACTGCAACAACACAGCCCTGCTCCTGTACTTGAAACTCGCAATGAAGGCCAAAATACCATTTGCTTTCTTTACCTGCCTCTGCACCTGCATGCTTCCCTTCAGTGACTGGTGCACAAGGACACCCAGGTCCCACTGCACACTCCCCTCTCCCAATTTACAGCCATTCAGATAGTAATCTGCCTTCTTGTTTTTGCTTCCAAAGTGAATAACCTCACGTTTATCCAAATTATACTGCATCTGCCATTTGCCCACTCACCCAACCTGACCAGATCATGCTGAAGGATCTCTGCATCCTCATTACAGTTCACCCTCCCACCCAACTTGGTATCATCTGCAAACTTTGAGATGTTACATTTTGTTCCCTCATTCAAATCATTAATATATATTGTGAATAGCTGGGGTCTCAGCACCGAACCCTGTGGCACTCCACTAGTTACTGCCTGCCAATTTGAAAAGGACCCATTAATTCCTATTCTTTGTTTCCTCTCTGCCAACCAGTTTCCTGTCCATCTCAATACACTTCCCCCAATTCCATGCGCTTTAATCTTGCACAGTAATCTCTTATGTGGGACTTTGTCAAATGTTTTCTGAAAGTTCAAATACACCAGACGAACTGCCTCCCCCTTGTCCATTCTACTAGCTACATCTTCATAGAATTCCAATAGATTTGTCAAACATGATTTCCCCTTCATAAATCCATGCTGATGCCGTCTGATCCTGTCACTGCTTTCTCAACGCTCCACTATAAAGTCCTTGATAATGGATTCGAGAATATTCCCCACTACCGATGTTAGGCTTACTGGTCTTTAATTTTCTCTTTTCTCTCTCCCTCCCTTTTTGAATATTGGAGTGACATTAGCTACCTTCCAATCTACAGAGTCGATAGAATCGTTGGAGGATGACCACCAATGCATTCACTATTTCTACAGCCACTTCCTTAAGTACTCTGGGATGTAGATTCAGGCCCTGGGGATGTATCCAACATCAATCCCATCAATTTTCCCAGCACCATTTTTCTACTAATATTGATCTCCCTCAATTCTTCCCTCTTACTAAGTCTTGCATTCTCCAACACTTCTGGTATCTGATTTGTGTCCCCTTTTCTGAAAATAGAACCAAAGTATGTATTCAGTTGCTCAGCCACTCTTTTGTCCCTTATTATACATCCCCCCATTTCTGTCTGTAGGGGACCTACGTTTGTCTTCACCAACCTCTTTCTCTTCACGTACCTATAGAAACTCTTCGTGTCAGTCTTTACGTTCCCTGCCAACTTACTTTTGTACTGTATTTTCCCCTTCTTAATCAATCCTCTTATCCTTCGGTGCTGAATTTTAAACTGCACCCAACTCTCAGACATATTACTTTTCTTGGCCAATCTGTATGCTTCTTCCTTGGATTGGATACTATCTCTAATTTTCTTTGTAAGCCATGGATTGGCCCGCTTACTCATTTTGTTTTTGTGCCAGACAGGAATAAACAGTTGTTGGAGTCCCCCCATGCATTCTTTGAATGTTTGCCATTGCCTATCCACTGTGATCCCTTTAAGTAACTCTCCCAATCTATCAAGGGCAACTCATGCCTCTTATCTTCATAGTTTCCTTTATTAAGATTCAGCACCCTAGTCTCTGAATCAACTACCTCACTCTTCATCTTGATAAAAAAATTGTCATATTATGGTTGCTCTTCCCCAAGGAGTCTCGCACAGCTGGATTAGCAATGATTCCCTTTTCATTACACCGTACCCAGTCTCTTTAAGCAGTAATGCCACTCTACCCACCTTGTCCTTTTTGCCTGTCCTTCCTCAATACTGAAGATGGGACATTCAGTTCCCATCCCTGGTACCCTGCAGCCATGTCTCCTTAATCCCAATTATGTCATACCTGTTTACATCTATCCGTGCGTTTAGTTCAGCCACTGTATTAAAAAAGCTCTGCACATTAAGGCACAAAGTCTTTAAGCTTGTCTTTTTAATATTGTTGGTCTTCTCCGTACTTTTCCTCAATAGCCCTGCTTGAATCTTGTCCTTCGTTTCTCTGCCTATCACTTTTCTTATTCCCTTTTCGACCTTTTGTTTTTGTCCTTGTTGCCTTCTTCTCTGACTCTTTACACAGGTTCCCATCCCCCTGCTATATTAGTTTAAACCCTCGTCAACAGGTCTAGCAAACACTCCCCCAGGGCATCAGTCCCAGTCCTGCCCAGGTATAACCCGTCCAATTTGTACAGGTCCCACCTCCGCCAGAACCGGTCCCAATGCCCCAAGGGTCTGAAAGCCTCCCCACCTACACCATCTTTTCAGCCACACAGTCAACCGATATATCCTTTCATTTCAACTCTGAGTAGCACGTGGCACTGGTACATTTGAGGTCCGATTTCTTAACTTTCTTCCTAGCCCCATGTATTCTGTTTTTAGGACTTCATCCCATTTTATACCTGTGTTATTTGTACCGATGTGTACCATGACCACTGGCTGTTCACCTTCCCCCTCCACAATGTCCTGTACCTGCTCCAAGACATCATTGACCCTAGCACCAGGGAGGCAACACACCATCCTGGAGTCTAATTTGCGGCCACAGAAAAGCCTGTCTATTCTCTTACAATTGATTCCCCTATAACTATTGCTCTGACATATTTTTTACCCCTCCCCTCTGAGCAGAACCAACCATGGTGCAGTGAGTTTGGCTGCTGATGCTTTCCCCTAATAAGTCATTCCTCTCAACAGTATATTCCCCTCAAAACAGTGTATCTGTTTTGCAGAGGAATGACCACAGGAGACCATAGGCACTACCTGCCTATCTCTTACTGTGTGGTGGTCACCCATTCCTTTCCTGCCTGCAGAGTCTGAGCCTGCGGTGTGACCACCTCTCTATACATGCTATCCACGATACTCTCTGCCTCGCTGATGCCCCACAGTGTCCCCAGCCACTGCTCCAGCTTCGAAACTCAAGCTTCCAGGAGCTGTAGCTGGAGACACTTCTTGCACACATGCTGACCCAGGGGGACTGGAACTGTCCTCAGCCTACCACATGGAGCAAAAGGAGCAAACCAAGACTTTGCGCTCTCCTGCCATGGTTTACCTCTTCAAATTCTAACCTGGAGAGTACTTTGATTCAGATTAAACCAAATCCAGTTATCTGTGGCCCTCCTTTCCTGGTCCGTGTATTACCCTAAAAGATTAGAAGCCAAAAAGAGTACTATAAGTATTAGAAGTTGCAAAGACTTGTATACCTTACCTGCTACTCACTAACCAGCCCTCTCCCTTGTAGTCACCTGCAGCAGGTCAAGACCACTCACTTTCTCTTGCTTGTGGTCCTCACATTGACTTGTTTCTTTAGTTGGAGGAGAGAGGGAAACAATGAAGTTGTGTTTGGGGTATAACTGTCCTTTGACAACACTCCCTCTACAAACCCCTGTTTATTTGCACCAATGCAAATCTTCACCCCAACCATCAATAAGCATCATCACAGCCCTCTGCTGGACACTTGTCCTCACTTGAACTCGGATGTTATCTTGCTGAGGTCCTCCTTTTGGTAGTGGTGAGTGCGCTGATGCAAATCATTGCCCCGACTATCAATCAACATCTTCACAGCCCTCTGCTGTCTGAATCAATACCTAATACAACCGGCTGGATAGGAACTTGTAATGAAGGAGAGTCCAGTTGCCCAAGCCCAATTCAGTCCCAATGACATACGTAAGACTGGAAAGAAGTTCTTCTTAGGGGCTAACTATGCCTAAACTAAGTTAAAAAGTAGAACCTCACAGGCAATAACCTCTGAATTATAACCTAAGCTACAAGAAAATTAGTATAGAGTGATTAAGACTAGAGTGTTAAAAGCATGGGTGGTGTTGGAGAAATTGGTCTCACTTCATGGGATATTGGTACTAGTACTGGAGAATTTGGGGACTGTACCTTTGGGGCAATCTTCAATGTAAACAGTCCAAGACAAATGTTCTGGCAAATTGTATCGCTCAGGCAGTACAGAGAGCTTTAAGGTAAGTAGTGGTGGCGAGGGATCATGTGAGTTAAGGTGTGACAAATTCAAATGAGGGATGCGAAAAGACAGCAAAGTAGCTATAAGGATAACAATTACAGTTTCCAAGTGTAAGTCTATTCCTGGAGATTTCATTAAATAAGATTTGCCATGTTCTAGTCATTACAGAACTGATACATTGGAACAGAGAAGATTCGAGCAGGGTGGTCTATTTGGCCATTCATGCCTGCTCTACCATTCAATACAATCATGGCTGATTGTCTGGCTCAGTGTCCTGTTCCTGCTATCTCACCATACCCTTTGATCCCTTTAACCCCAAGAACTATCGCTAATTCATTCTTGAAAACATTCATTGTTTAGGCATTTAAATAGTGGTGGAATGGACTCAGTTGCATGGAAAATTAGAAAATCAAAGGTAAAGGAGATGGTAGGATTACAGGTTAGTGATGGGACAAATAGTTACCAGAAAATAAAAGGAATGGACATATTTCACCAAGGAATGATAAAAGTTGAGAAATTCGATAATAATAATTCAAACTTAAAGGCTTTACATCTTAAGGTACAAAACATTCAGAATAAGGTAGATTTGTGCTGACAGCAAAAATCAAGGCAAATTAATATAATTTCATAGTCATTATGCAAACATGGTAATAGGAGATCAAAACTTGGAGCTTTAACCTTTTGGAGAAACAGCAGGGATGGAAATGGTGTTGGGATAGCACTCTTAATAAGGGATGAAATAAGGACAGTTGTGAGAGACAATCTAACTCAGATATGCACAGGTAAAAACAAGCAAGCAAAAGAAGACATTGGTGCGAACAGTGTATAGACCTCCAAACGGTAGCCACTGTGTAGGAAAAGGCATAAATCAACAAATAACAGGAACATGTAAAAAGAATAGAGCAATATATATGAGTGACTTTAATCTTCATGCTGGTTGAGTCAATCAAATTGGAAAGGGTAGCTACAACAACAAATTCAGAGTACGTTAGGGCTTGTTTCCCAAGAGCAATATGTCATGGAGCCAACCAGGGAAGAAGCCATCCTGAATGTGGTAATGGGTAATGAGGCAGATTTAATAAATGACCTGAGTAAAAGATCTCCTTGGGAACTGATCATAAAATGATAAAATTTAATATTCAGTTTAACAGTGAGAAACCTGGGTGGAAATGAATGTGTTTAACTTAAGTAAAGGGAAGTACAATGAAATGTACTAAAGTTGGCTAAAGTGAACTGAGTGGACAGATTAGCAGGAGTGATAGTAAGCAAGCAGTGGCAGGCATTTAAGGAGGTAATTCACGACTTTCAGCAGAAGTATATCTCAGAAAGGAGGAAAGGTTCTAACAGAGTGATAAACCAACCATGGGTAACTAAAAACGTTAAGGACAGTATTCAGGAACAAAAACAAAGTTGCTGGAAAAGCTCAGCAGGTCTGGCAGCATCTGTGAAGGAAAAAAGTGTTAACATTTTGGGTCTGGTGACCCTTCCTCAGAACAGACAGTATTAAGTTAACAGAAGTTAACAGAAAGTTAAGAGAAAGGACAGTATTAAGTTGAGAGTAAAAAGCACATAAGGCGGAAAAGTCAGGGATAGCCCCAAAGACTGGCATAAATTCAAAATCCAGCAAAGGAGAACTCAAAATAAACACAGAACAAATAAACTATGAGGCCAAACTAACAAGGAATGTAAAAAACTGACAATAGGAGCTTATTTAAATATAAGGAAGACAGAGGTCAAAGTGAATATAGGCTCTTTAGAAAATAAATCTTGATCCTTTCACAAGTGGAAGCAGCTTCACCCAACCTACTTTGTCCAGCCCATTCATGATTTTGAAACCTCATTCAGATCTCCTCTCAGCCTTCTCCCTCCAGGGAGAACAGTCCCAACTTCTTCAATCTGTCCTCACAGTCAAAGTTTCTCATCCCTGGAAACATTCTAGTAAATACCTTCTGCGCATTATCGAATGCACTCACACTTTTCCTATGACATCCACAACTGTACAGAATATTCCAGCTGCGGTCTATCAAGTGTCTTGTACATGTTTAATATCACCTCCTTGATCCTTGTACTCTGTGCCTCCATTAATAAAGTTTAAACAATCTATGCTTTATTTATTGCTCTCGCTACCTGTTTGCCACTTTTAATGAATTGTACACATACATAACTAGGTCCCTTTGCTCTTGCACCTGCTTTTAGTCATGTACCCTCTACTTTATACTGTATTTCAATGTTCTTTTGACCTCACACTTCTCTGCACTGAACCTCAACTGCCACCTAGCCACCCATTCCACCAACCTGTCAATGTCCTTTTGGAAAAAAACCTAAAGAACTGTGGATGCTGGAAATCAGAAACAAAAACAGAAATTGCTGGGAAAACTCAGCAAGTCTGGCAGCAGCTGTGGAGAGAAATCAGAGTTAACGTTTCAGGTTCAGTAACCTTTCTTCAGAACGTTCTGAATTTCCCACCTCACTTCCTTCAAACTTTTCTACAAAAGTTCCTCAGGGTAGTGTCCTTGGCCCAAGCATCTTCAGCTGCTTCATCAATGATGTTACTTCCGTCAGGAGGTCAGAAGTAGGGTCGTTCACTGATAATTGCACAATGTTTGGCACCATTTACAAAACAATGTAGTCCATGCCCAAATACAGCAAGACCTGGACCATATCTAGGTTTGGGCTGACAAGCAGCAAACAACATTCACACAATGCAACTGTCAGGCAATGATGATCTCCAAAATAATGCTGAAAAAATTTGGAACAGTTCTGAAGAAGAATCATATGAGGACTTGAAACTTTTAATGGTGGCTCAGTGGTTAGCACTGTTACCTCACAGCACCAAGGACCTGGGTTCAATTCCACCCTCAGGCAACTGTCTGTGTGGAGTTTGTACATTCGTCCTGTGTCTGCATGGGTTCCCTCCGGGCACTCTGGTTTCCTCCCACAGTCCAAAGATGTGCAGGCTACGTGGATTGGCCATGCTAAATTGCCCATAGTGTTCAGGGATGTTTGGATTAGACATGGGGAAATGCAGGGATAGGGGAATGAGGCAGGCTGGGATGCTCTTCAGAGGAGTAATGTGGACTAGTTGGGCCAAATGGCCTGTTTCCTCACCGTAGGGATTCTATGATTAACTCTGTTTCTCTCTCCACAGATGCTGCCAGACCAGCTGAGTTTCTCCAGTGTTCTCTGTAATTATTGCTACTCCTTACTTTCTGTCCATTAACCATTTCTCAAACCATAGCAGTATACTGTCCCAAATCTCATGCCCTCTCATTTTATTTACTCCTATGTAGGACCTGATCAAACATCTTTTAAAAATCCAAATACATTACATCCAATGGTTCTGCTTTTACTGTTCTACAAATAACATCTTCAAAATAGGTTTGTCAAATATGAATTCCCTTTCATAGATGCATTTTGACTCTTCCCAGTCAGATCATACCTTTCCAAGTGCCAGGTATCTCAGTCTTCATAATAAATTAGAACATGTTTCCTATTACTGACGTCAAGTACAGGTCTGTAATTCCCGCACTTTCCCCCCCACCCCCCAACTTCCTTCTTATATAGGAGGTTCCATTTGCTACTTTGCAATTTGCAGGAACCTTTCCAGACTCTATGGAATTTTGAGAAATAATCACCAATCCATCCATTATCTCTGTAGCCAGTTCCTTCAACACTCTGGGATGTAATTCATCTGGTGCAGGGAATTTATCATCCTGCAATCCAATTAATTTCTCAACTATATCTTCGTTGAAACTTTGAGTTTCTCATTTTCACAAGTCCCTTAGTTCCCTAGCACGTCTGGGAGATTTTATTGTCCTTCCTCTGTGAATACAGACATAAAGTAATTGTTTAGTTTCTCCACTGTTTTCTGCTGTAAATTCTCCTAACTCTGTCATCCATCGGTAGTTGGCCCAAAACTGTTTCTGCAGATACTTTCTTTCTCATATCTAAATAAGCTTTATGATTCACCTTTATGTTACAAGCTACTCTTTGCCCTTTCTATATCAGTTTCTTGGGTGGCTAGTCTACTGACATTACCAATACAGCACCAACACTAAAATGGCAGTGGGGGGAAAGAAGCTCAGGATCAAAACTGGGCCACAGTGAAAAATAATGTGCATGGGAAAAGTATTCTTAAAAAGGCAAAACTTAAGACTTCATGCCTTAATGTGCACAGCATTTGTAATAAAGTGGATGAATTAACTTTGCAAATACAGGAAATGATATCGTTGGAACTACAGAAACATGGTTACAGGAATGACCAGGACTAAATGATGGGACTAAACACCAGGGGTATTCAGAATTTAGGAAGGATAGACAAAAAGGTAGAATCGCAT